GGTGGCGCTGGCGCCAGTCCGCCATGACCCTCTCGTCCTCCTGGGCGACGAGGAGGCGGCGTTGCCGCTCGGCATGCTCCGCATGGTCTTCGGCCGTGTTCAGACAAGGCAGAGGGGCGAGGTTGAGCGCTTGCTCGAGCGTGTACACATCTTGGAAGTTCATCTGGCCGCGCGGCCGGCCTAGGCGCCACGCTGCCGCGTCGTACGCGCGGGCGGCCTGTCGCGCCGTCCCGTACGTGCCGAGGGCGAGCCGGAGTTCGCCGGAGCGTATCTCCGCGGTGTAGCTGCCGTTGGGCCGCAGGCGGACGCCACGGTAGCCGGACGCTCCTCGGCGGCGCGACGGCATGGCGGCGCGTCGGTGGCGGGGCGCTGGAGCGGCGCATGGCAGAGAGGGAGAGGGAGAGGGGAAGAGATGTGTGTGGAGAAGGCGCGTGGCGCGCGCAGCTTTTATAGGCGCGCGCGAAGCGGCGCGCCAAATCTTGCGCGCGAGCTGGCGCCTTTTCGCGCGCGCTAACGGTTCCCGCGGCCGCTGGAGCGCGGCAAACCGCCCCGCGCGCGCTAAAAGCTGTGTTTACCACGCGCGCGCGTCGTTTGGGGCGACTGTTGGAGATGCTCTAAGTCCGCACTTATCGTTCGAACCATAGCTGTTGATGAAGTTGTCGACCATTATTTGCTTTTTGATCCCAGACCCTTGCATCGCCAATATCTCTGCCCTCGTGCCATCTCCAATCCATTTGTGTAACTACAAAAATGGGACCTCGCCGGGTTGCGCCAGCGCGTGGTTGTGATCGTCCATGAATGACGCGACGAACCAAACTCCACGTGCTCTGTCCAACTTCACCGTCATCTATGCACCGCACTCACAACGAGTCTTAGGTCTAAGCCTGTGGGTGCGGCCCTCCATGGTTATGAATTTGCTTTGCCATTTCCCTGCCCTGGAGCAAAAGAACCGCCTGAACTGAATAATTCCTGAAGGCCCTTTCCCTCATTTCACCTTCTCCCTCCTGATGCTGAACCCACACTCTTTGGGGTGCTTGTTGTAGAATATGAATGCATCCCCTTGGGACCGAAATGTCAAAGCCATGACCTTTCAATGTGTCTCCCGCATCCGTTGCTGGTTTTGAGCCTCCTCGTTGTCCATCTCTGCTTTGTTGTGATCATCGTCAGAACCAGCTGACCCCTCCTACAAAATTACATATGAAACTATGTCAATTACCATCATTTATTTCATACTACTTCGCGCCGTACAAAATGATTGAACGAACCTGGCTCAAGTTATCGGTGAATGATTCCTGGAAATTGTTTTGCTCATTCTCAACATCCACATCTTCCTGTAAATTAATATACATAGACAAATAATTAGCCATACGGTACTTTGCAAGTTCAAATATGTAATCAAAATATACATCACTTACGTTTTCATTGTTTGCACCAAGTTCATTATTTTCAAAATCCTCCGAAGGTAAGATATCATATGACGAGCATGATTCGTTGTCACTGTTATCCTCATCTTCGTTAATACTATCGTTATAGGTCCGAGTGACCTTACCAGTACCATTCTCATCGCCCATGAATGCGGTTTCTTCATCCATGTGAACACACCTAACTAGCAACATTGCACAACATTGATAAATAAACTTTATCTCGTGTTAAAGTTCATATAGTGGGTCATGCCGATCAAAAAATTGCAAGATTGAAAAAAATTAAATTATTTTTTACAAAAACTAAATCACTTCGATCGGTCATGCTAGGTTTAGATGGCAAACCTTGGGCGACAGTGTTGATGTCACCGGTCAAGGCCGACGAGGCCTTGGGGAAGGGGTCTCTGGCGTGATTCTAGCCAGCGGCGGCGTGGAAGATGAGGAAGCCGCAGGATTATGGGACGGACCCGCGGCGGGGGACGACTGCGGTTAGTGGAGGCGAACGCGGTGTGGGACGTCGGGGCGGTCAGTGCCTGCAGGATCCGCCGCGTGGGATAGGGACGGTGAGAAGCGGCGTATGATGGGGTTGGAACAGCGTCCGAAGCCGGCGACCTAGGTGGGCAGCAGGCGGGCGTGATCGTGGACTTTTTTTTTGCATGGGCGCATGTATCGGTACGACCGGCGGGTACGTGTACAATACGAGGTGGGTATACATTTTCTTGAAATGACTCATCTGCCCTTCTATGGTTTGTGTGTGTCTGGAGGTGGTAGCGAAGCAGAGGCCGAGAATGAATATGCTTAACTTTGTGCTCCGGTCAATATGTTTCTCTCAATCATATAGTACTACCTTCACTATTATTTTGTACATTGATTTTGCATTATTCATGATGTGATCTCATACAATACTAGCATTTTAAGTATTTTTTTTAAATATAGTAATTAGTCCTGCCAGTCTTCAAGAAATCAAGCTGATAATCTCATTCTTATACCATTTGGCAGTTTTGTGCCTACCACCTTAATGATATCTTTTAATATTCTAGATTATTCCTCATTTTGGAATGCTTACCATTGACTGAGATTGCACGGTTTTACGGATACAAGGTACTCTAGCTCAAAATATAAGACATGCAAGAAAACGTTTTATATTTCGAGACAGAGGGAGTGCCTCATTATATCAGCTGGTAACAGATTGACGGTTGAAACAATTTCACTATGCTGGGACATCTCAATATCTCATTGGTAAAGTAGCTTAGAACATCTACAGCCGGATATGTCAAATATGACCCTTTAAATTTCAAGAGTTACATCCGGACATCTCATACTAGATTCTCAAATTCATACAAAGATATGCAAATAAATAAACCTACGTATTACGCTGATCACCTAGCTACTCGTCGTTGGAGATCTCGACGATCTCCGTGCCCGGCTCCGGCAGCATGGGCGGCAGCTACAGCTCCGGCTCCCTCGACTGCTCCGCTCTGGCCCCCTTCGCCTCTATCTTTGCGTCGAGTTCGGCGAAGAGCGTGTCGGACGCCGCCCGCTCCTGCTGGAGGAACGCCCTGTTGGCCTCCACATAGGCATCATCCTGGATGGACTCCAGGATGGCCTGCTGCTCCGCCATCTCCTCCCATTGGGAGACGGCGAACTCCGTCTTCGCTTGCTCCATGTTGAAGCCCGACAGCTCCGGCTCAGGCTGCTCCGCCTCCTCCACCTCCATCGAAGCCGGTTCCTTTCTCTCCTCTTCCCCCGGCTCCTCCTCCTCCTTCTCCGGCTACGGCGTGTCCGAAGGCAGCCCGACAGCGATGCGGGCGGCGTGCGCGTCCTGTCTCGCCTAGATCTCCCGCTGGATCTTGTACCGGCATTCCGGCGTGAGCATTGCGTAGTAGGTGATCTTCCTCTGGACCATGGCGGAGCGCCGGAGCGTGGGCAGAGCATCGGGACGGGAGAGGGAGGAGGTGGATGGGCTCGGACTGGCGGTGTGGACAGGGGGAGGTGGATGGGTTAGGGTTGAGGGACGCCGATCGGCGTAAATAGCCGGATTTGGTATCGGCCGGCGAGCCGGAGCGGTGTCATGCAGCGTTCACACCGCGGCGGACCGACGTGGCGGGCGTGCCCTGGCGCCCCCGTATCCGCCCAATATTTTGGTTGGATAAGAGGGGTGTCGGTCAGCCCGGGCGTTTGAGACCCATTTGAGGGCGGGCGTCTGGGTTGAAAAATCGTGACCGGTCAGTGACCGAGCGGGCCGTCCGGTCGTTTGAGGTTGGTTTGGTCGTTTGAGGTAGGTTTGGGGGCCCCCGGCTATAGATACTCTTATGTTGTGGTCATGAGTTGTACGTCCTATGTGGCTTGCATCCTGCGGCAGAATTCAATAGTCGCTCTTCAAACAGGTAAATGCAGTGATATATGGGGGAACTAACAATTTGGCATGTCAACCAGGCTATGATAACTGATGATAGAGAGGGGGCTCAAAAAAGTTGCCACTATGGAAACTTGATCGGTCCCACATCATGTGTAATTTCTGCCTATATATGGAGACCCATTAGACTGTACATGTAGCTCATCCTCTAGCCGCTCTTACTTTTGAAAGAGTTTGGCTAATTTTAGGTAGAGCTTTGGGTAAGGTGATGATATGCATCCCTTTATTTAAATTTGTCCAGGCTACATTATTTCCTTCTGTTTACTTCATGTTAGTGTTTATCCTATTATGACCCTAACACTGGGAAACTATCTTTTTAGGTTCGTTTTCTGGATTATGTATCAAAATTTATTGATAATCGAGTGTTGAAGATCCATTGTTTGCACCTACTTCCTCCTTTCAATATATAAGAGCGTTTTTTACACGTGGGACGGAAGGAGTAGATAATTGTATATTTTACTATCTGATTTTGGCTTGCAGTTTGCATGTTGCATAGATACTATCATTGGTAACCGAAACAAATTTGAGCTACAAGGTTTGAGATACAGGGCGTCAATGGCTTGAGGTAAAAACCAATTCCTACCAAACAGGACTCTTTCCGAAAAAATATTGAATCGGACTATAGGAGACCCATGCACATGGAGACAATCAACGGCGGAGCCAGCGTAGAAAGGTTGGGTTCAAGTGAACCCAATGAATTTTATCTGCCACCTACATATAGGTATGTATTTTCTTGACTTTAACCTAATAGAAAGTCTAGAATGACCCCATCGAATAATGTTATGAGGGGGGGCATTGGCCCCCAACCTTGCATCAGATATTTTTTTTGGTGAGCTTATATTGGAAATTTCTAGCAAACTCCATCACTGCATGCAATAGTTATTCATACTTAAACCCTTAGTGAACCCATTAGCAAAATTTCCTGGCTCCGCCCCTGGAGAACACAAGTCACACAAATGACCATACATCCAAATGCCATTCAAATTAGAGGACCATACATCTGAAAGCTCATGTAAAACGCCATCACAAACAACGACACTTCATTCAAAACTAGATTTGCATGTGACGCAACACTGCGGCAACAAGGATGGTCGAACAAAGCTCTTAACCCGGCGCCGCAAAGCGCGCCTGTTCCTCTAGTTATATACCACGGTCCTTGCTAGTTACTGCACGATACGGCCAACGTAGCGGTGGTCGTGCTTGGGGTAGGTGCAGCCGAGCCCGAACGGCAGCCACCCGAACCAGTTCTTGCTGCACTCCTTGACGGCGACGTCGCCCAGCACCCTCCTCCCCTTGGCCGTGACGAGGGTCACCACCTTGTGCTCGTCGAACACGATCCTGCACTTCCCGCCGGCCCCATCCTTGCACGACCCCGCCTCCGGCCAGTCCTCGCTCCACACCTCCACCCCGTCCATGTAGTTCCCGGCGTAAACCCACCGGCACGCCACACTGGTGCTTGCCGGGAGGACGAGGGGCTGGCCGAAATTCTTGACGGTCTTCCCCACCCGGCCGGCCGCCGAATAGTAGCACAGGGACTCGGTCGACTTGCCGTCGCGTACGTCGAACGATATTCCGTTGTCGCAGCCGCCGAAGGAGATCTCGTAGTCCTTGTTCCCCATGCGGTTCTCGATGTTGCACACGAACCTCTCGATCGTCACGGGCCGGTTGACGTCGGTTCGCTGGATTGATTCCGGCGGCGGCGGCGGGCATACCTGGGCGATGGAGGCCCGGACAAGGTTGGCAGCGGCAACGAAGGCGACGAGAACGGTGATGGCCTGCCGGCGGCCGAGAGCGGCAGGGCTTTTCTTCATCTTGTCCTTTGTGTTCTGGGCGCACTGCTGTGACTCGCAGCCCGTGGGGCATGCATATATATGCAACGTGTGTATTATCACGGATGTTACTATCACGAAATAGTTAAATGCTTAAGCATCAAAACCTCCGGTTAATAATTAATTATAGGCGTTTAGACATGCCGGCCAGCGCAGTGTATTATTGCTATCTCCGTTTAGTCACTGTAAGAAACGGAGGATTTTTCAAATGATCTAATCTTATATCCTATATATCGCTCGGAGACTCTGCTTGATCTTAGAGACAAAAGGATGAGATCATCTAGCGGATGTGAAGCATCAAACGTGCATGAGTTTTGCATATTTTTTTCGCGAATACGCAAGCTCATTTCATATACCAGAGAGAGAGAGAGAGATACAACACAACAGATACATATACCAGAGAGAGATACAACATAGCACAACACAATAGTTTGGCGTATTTTTTAACACAGTACAATCGCAGATGCTCACAACATGCACATACACTCACCACTTGAAAACACGCATGGACACCCTATGAGCACATCCGAGATACTGAGCCAGCATAACATCTTGAGATTGATGAAATCATTATAGGCATTTTGTTGTCGAGGGGAATGTCTCCTCCCACTGAACGGACATCACCAAAAAGTCTAAAATAAATTTAAGTGGTTTCAGGAGCCCGCCCGAGCAAGGCAAGGGAGAGAAAATGTTTAGGGGAGAAAGAGGGTGCGTTGTTCGTCATCTGTTCAGAAAACGTTTCAGAGGAAGAAAAAAGACATTCATCTGTTTGTTTCCATCCAACATCCAACGGCTTGGATCTACTTGACTATAAAACTGAAAAGAATTGCAGTTAACTGGCGTATCAGTGTTTCTATTGTATAACCTTTAACTTCATAGTAGAGTTTATGAGCTTGTTGGCTGCATGTATCAATAATTTGCACCATTTCTCCTCTTTGAAATGTGGAATGGAAGGTGGACTCAGCGGTGAACAAGCCACCTCATCGGCTGACAATGTGGCCCTAGCACTCCCTACAATCCCAATCAATCAGATAGCTCCTTTTTTTAGAGAGCTTAGTATCTTTAGAGACGCGAGATAGGCCTTGCGAAATCTCCATTTCAGAGACATGGGTGCCATAAATTTTCTTCTAAAAACATCCCTCTCTCACGCATTGTCTTCTTTTTTTGTAGTTTTGCTAACACATTGTTACACGCATGCAACGATTTCCAAGGTCTCCACTCCTTGGCCGGGAATGAGTGAGTGGGTGACCAGTCAATTATCTTGATCTTAAAAAATGAATGAGATTACCTATGTTTTTCTCTTGATCCATGCTTCTTAGATACGAGAATTTTTTGTTGGAGCACAATGATTTCAAAGACGTAGTTCAAGGAATTTGGAATCAAAATATAAATGAGAAAGATAGTGCTGAAAGAATTACTACAACATTCAAGAGACTTAGGAAAGGTCTACACATTTGGTCCAAGAACTTTTTTCAACCTTGCTGCTACTATTAAGGCTTGCAATGAAGTTATTTTATGCTTGATCTAATTGAGGAATTCAGAGTACGGACAAATGAGGAATGGAATAGCTGAAACATTATTAGGGAGCACTATCCCAAGTTACTATCTTATCAAAGAACTTATTGGAAACAGAGAGCTACTATTAGATGATAGAAATTATGGGATGAAAATACCAAGTTTTCCCAAGCCAAAGCAATCATGAAATACAGAGCAAATCATATTTCCACCCTGCTAGACGTACTAGGAAAAGAAGTTACTGATCATCATGCAAAAGTTGTTGCTCTTTGGAGGCCATTCAAGCAGAGACTAAGTAACGCAACTCAGATTTATGAAGCTTTTGATCTTAGCACTTTGCTTGAGAGTTGTGATGGATTTCAAGATTTGGAAGCTCATTTTTCTAAAGAAGAGATTGATATTGTGGTGGACCAACTTCGTTTAGAAAGAGCACCAGGCCCTGATGGTTTCAATGGAGCCTTCATCAAGTCTTGCTGGAATATCATTTCTGAAGATTTTTATAATCTAGTTCAGGATTTCTTCCAAGGTAATATTATTCTTCAAAGTATCAACACATCCTTCATCACCTTGATCCCAAAGAAGGATAACCCAATGCTTCCAAGTGATTTCAGGCCTCCCTGCTAAACTACACTATTAAGATTATAACCAAGCTTTTGGCAAATAGGCTCTAGAAAATCATTCTCGGTTTGGTTCATGTCAATCGATATGGTTTTTTAAAAGTCTAGATCGGTTCAAGATTGCTTGACTTGGGCTTTTGAATACCTTAACCGATGCTATCAGTCCAAGAAGGAGATTATCATTCTTAAACTGGATTTTGAAACATTTGATCTCATTGAGCATGACCTCATCTTAGACATTTTGGAGACTAGAGTATTTGGGAAAAGATGGAGTTGCTGGATTAAAGTGATCTTTGAGTCTGGTACCTGTGTTGTTCTACTAAATGGGATTTTAGGAATACAATTCCACTGTAAAGGGGAGTGAGGAGGGATATCCTCTCTCATTTACTCTTTGTCCCGTTTGCTGATTTTCTACAGTCAATTATTAATGAAGCCATGCGAAACAACATCATATGTGCTCCACTCCAAGTTGATTCATGCTATGATTCCCCTGCCATCCAATATGTAGATGAATTGGCCTTGCCTGCTGAAGATATGCAACTGCTCCAAGTCAAATACCTCCTACTGCACACTGCTCAAAGTGGACTTAAGGTCAGTTATATCAAATCTGTGTTAATTCCCATTAATGTTGCTCCTGGGAAGATCGAATTCATTATAACCACTATTGGTTGTGAGTTGGGATCCTTCCCTTTTACCTACTTGGGACTGGCTCTCATCACAAGCAAGCTCAGAATTGAGGACTTCAATGCTACGATGCAGATAATTGAGAGAAGAATTTCAGGATGCTCAACTCTAATCTTATACGATTGCAGATTACAACCCATCGAGACTGCCTTCTCGTCTTTGCCTACATATTTCATGTGTTGTCTTGCCACTCCTTTTGGGAGTATTGGACCAGATCAACAAGTATTTCAGGCGTTTGTGTAGGAAACTTGGATCTGAAGAAACTAGACCAACTCTGATTGCCTACGAGATTGTTCGCAAACCTAAAAACATGGGGGCTTAGGAGTTTTGTACATTGCCAAACAAAATAAAGCTTTGTTCCTTAAAAATCTGCACAAGTCTCACAGCAAAGAGAATCTTCCTTGGGTTAGTCTAATTTGGGAATCATATTTATCCATTAACCCCTCCTCATGGAAAACTGGAGGGTTCATTTTAGTGGCAATCACACTTAAAGCTCATTCCACTATACAAGGAAGTGGCACATTGCATTGTTGGCACTGGACAATTAGTATTATTTTGGGAAGATAGTTGCAATGGACCTCCATTTGCTCAACAATTCCCAGAGCTTCACTCTTTTGCCATTAATAAAAAAAAGTCTCCTTGGCAACAATGCTAGTTGATCAGAATATCACTGAAAAATGTCAGAGGGCCACTTTCAAAACAAGCTTTTTCTACAGTTTAATAGCTTGAGCAGACACTCATTCAGGCCAATTTCTCTACAACTGCTAATACTTGGTCATACAACTAGAAAACAAATGTATACTCCTCTGGGAAAATGTAAAGGCACATCATGGGTCAATCTAGTGTTTGCTTTCTCTTTAATTGGCTCTAGAAGTGTGCAAGCAGGATCAAACACAATTTTTTTCTGGTTGTCATTGTATGATAGATTCAACACCAAGGGTCTACTTAATAGGAAATCCTTTCACATGGATTCTTTTGAATGTGTGCTTTGTAATGAAAACATAGAGGAGATCATTTAATTTGTCATCTTCTTTGGGACTGTACCTTTGCTCAATCTTGTTGGCATTCAATCTCTCCAAATAGACACAGGGGAATCTTATTCTTTGATGAAGTTGTGTTACTGCATCAGACTTTTCCCAAGTAGATTGCTTTAGATATTATCATCACGGGTTGCTGGAATATTTGGATGGAATAGAATGGAAAGATTCTTAAAAATGAAGTGCCAGGAATTATGTCTTAGAAGCATAGACACAAACAGAATCTTCTGCTGGTCAAGCATAGGACAAAGGCAAAGAATGTTGACTATCTCAGTGAGTGGATTGCATCCTTGAATTCATTTGATTCCATTTCTATTTGATGTTTCTCAAGTCAGAGAAAACTGGAGTTTGATGTACTCTACTTGCAAATTATACTTTTATACTTTTACGAAAATTATACCGTAGAACATTAGGGGTAAAAAAATTGTCTCGCTCTTGAGCATTTCACTCAAGCCCTCTCCATGATCACTTCTTCTGCCTCACCCACCTCCATCCCATGTCGGTTTTCCCCTTAAAAACCCTCAAAACATCTTGGAGCCACCTGGTCCAACTCACTCGTGCTTCCACCAATTTCCCTAACCACATCCCCATCCCAATCTGGCTACCACCACGGTCTCCACGTTCTAACCCTAACCCGCTGAAGTACAAAGTTCCGCATCTCTACTTCTCTAGGTTCGAGAACTGCAAAGCATGCCACTTGGCACTTCATTCACTTGGCTGCTCAAGGATAAGAACAACACATCCATCTATATCGAGCAGGCACATGAATTTTAGTTGACTCGTCAAATTTTAGGCCCCAATTTATATTTCGTCTTAGGGCTCCAAATTATTGGAGACGGCCCTACGAAGGCCTGCAACATGTCGTAGATCAAAACAGTCAACAAAAGTAAGACATGAGATATAGCATATACATACATATATCTTCTTTATTAGACTCGATGTAAGAGTACAATTTTTTCAATAGCGTGAACAATAAGAAACCACACATATATTCGTAGATCATCTGCAATCTGCATAGGGCTACTGGTTTTGTAACACATCTTGAGCTATGTAAACCAATGCATGCCGCGTTGACTGATAGCCAACACGCTAATTTCTCAAGAAGAATTGCACGCGCTATGTATGCATG